TCTAGGATGTCCAAATGGCTGTCCTAGGGAATGGGTGGATCTGGGACAGGTAGCCACACCACCCTGGCAATGACATGGGACAAAATAAAGATTTGGCTATTGGTGCTGCCTGCAGTAGATCGTAGCTAAAATGGGGAAACATGAAATAAAAATAAAATTCTAAGCACCCCCCTGCCCCACCGACTGACTGAATGGACACCACCTTGGCCAAGGAGACCCCAGAAAAACTTTGAAAGCTAAGTTTTCCAGCCATGATGAGAGGTTGGTTACACCTCAGTACACCCCATTCCTCACTAACTGATACCAGACTTTGTAAGCGTTAAATAGATACCAGCCCTGGAACAGAAACAAGACTCACTCCTCTCCTGACTTCAGCCAACCACCTGACACCACAGCCAGACTCCCCTCCTTTTTCATGCTTTTGACATGACAGCTGACCAGTTTCACTGCGCATGCCTTCCTGACAAATGACCAGCAGTCACAGACTAGTTCTGGCTGGTTTACTCAGGCTGTGCACCTTTTGACATATAAAGCTTAATTTTACTGCGTTTTAATGTTAAGTCTCCACCCCAAGAGAACATGGGATTTGTGTAACATGTATGTTTGCTTATACATGCATGAGTCCACCTTTCATGAATATGCATAGCTCCTTCTATAACCTGTTAAATATGTACGTTAGCCAGCCCATTTAGTGTAAAACTCCTGTTCCCCACTTCTTCCCTTGAAATGGTTGCTTTTGTTCCCAGCCAAAGGCTCTGCTTCCTAGCCTGCAGGTTGCACCTCAATATAAGAAATAAAGTTCTTCCCTAATGTATAGATCTCATGATTTTAAGTCAACACCCTACAGAGAGTCCTATCTCCCGGCTTTGTCTGTTTGCTAAATAGTAGTGTCATTGAGCTTGTTCTCTAATCCCCTGTATTTGCTATAAACTCAGGGTTATATCTAAAGACTAGCCATATCTAAAAAAAAACAAATTATGCCCTATTTGCTGTCCCTTTGTATCCCTAGATCATAGGTGACAGTGATGTGACACGATTCAGTGAGCCCAAACACTGAGGCTTCAACTGAAGAGTTATCGTCTTCTCCTGGTTACAAACAGTGCCCTTTTCTACTCTCACTTTGTTTTGAAAACTAAAAGTCAATATTTGAAGAACTCTTAGATAATAAAGTAGGTGCTGCTTTTCAAGCCAGCTATTTGAAGAAAGTTAATGAAAAAGAAACATTACTGATCTATCTAGGGGACATGCTACCGAATGTATGAATCCTTCACTTTTCTCCCCTAATCGGAAGTAGTAATTTTCCACTTTGCCTTGTTTTTCTTCCTGTCATTCCTTCCCACCCATATCTCTTGCTTTCTTAACTTTTCAAGCTACTTACCATCTTTAGCTGGATCTGGCTAGACATTGGTTTTCATACAGTATTTGTCTACTTTGTTTGAGTTTACGTGCCAATAGGCATACGTCTAATAGAGACTTTTAATTTTTTTTTCTTTTTTGAGACGGAGTCTTGCTCTGTCGCCCAGGCTGGAGTGCAGTGGCGCAATCTCGGCTCACTGCAACCTCCGCCTCCTGGGTTCACGCCATTCTCCTGCCTCAGCCTCCCGAGTAGCTGGGACTATAGGCGCTCGCCACTAAGCCCGGCTAATTTTTTGTATTCTTTAGTAGAGACGGGGTTTCACTGTGTTAGCCAGGATGGTCTCGATCT